TTCTGGGTCAATTTGTTTTGCTTTTGTCACCTATTGACATCTTAAAATGCTCTTCTATTGATCACCACAGAATTTCCTAGCAACTGACTTGTAGATTTTATGAGACACTCAGGCTGACTTTCATGACTTTAGTTCTAATCACTGGTCTCACTAAACTATAGTCGACGATACTCAACAAGCCCTGGGAAGGAGTAGCTCATGCTTCTCTTCCAAGGGGGGGGGTGGAGTGGGGGGGGGGGTGCATTTTGCAACGGCTGTTGTTTTGTTCAGCTCATCAAGCTGACGCGTTGCTCCAAGCGACCCCCACCGCACCCCACAACCTCCAGGATATTACTCCCCTTTCAGAAACACACTGTTGCCGGTCTGCGGATGGTACGTCGCCCTCATTTGGGGAGAGTTCAAGGTGTGCGCCCCCTCCCCGTCGCATTGTCCTCGTGGCTCATGCTTCAGATTCAGTGAAGCTCCTGCCTACTGGGCCATATTAAGCCTTCACCCTGGCGCTGAAAACAGCATGTTGGGAACCACCGACGTGCCCACTAAAATACGCAGGACAGAAATGTAATGAGCAGTATGTAAAGGGAACAAGCGTGACGTCCATGTAAGCTACATTTACAAGATAAAAATGTCAAAAGAGTGCTACAATGCGGGTCCTTCAGGGCCTTAGGCTGTGTGGGAAGGATTTGATGAATTCTGCTTACGTTCCGCGGATTCCTCCCTCGCGGGGACCTTCAGGAAAAGAATGGGTCATATGCAAATGGCATGCACAGTATGGAGAAGAAATTTCCCACAAGCCCAGTGTGAAAAGGGCTCTCCCTCCCCATGCCAGGCCCGCTGAAAGGGCCTTTTCTTCTGCCACTGAAAGTGAATGAGGTAGAGCAGGCTAACTGCAAAGGTAACTAGGCTCTTTCTCCTCGGGCTTTCTCACTAAAGCCTCAACACACAATGGTTCATTTACGCATTCAACCACACAAACCACAATAAAGCACATCCTAGCGCAGTTAAGGGGGTTACTGAAACTGACTCTGGGTTTAAAACTCCTCCTTTATGCAGGAAGAGCACCTTTTTATAGGCTAATGCTCTCTGCCTCCGTGGGGGCAGCTAATCATTAAGCAGCCTTAACAGAGGTGGGATCGTACATCATATAATTCTAATTTCAAGGAGCAGCCCACCGAGGAAAGTAACTCTTCTACCCTGACAATCTCACTTCGCCGTAAAACCTTTCCCCGAAAAAGTGTTACCGACATGCGATAAAGTATGAGTCTCTGACACGCAGTCCGTAATCTAGTGTACCAGAGTGCCGCTGCCATGGGTCGTGTTTTACATCTGCCATCACCGAGTCTTTCAGCTGTCACCTGTTCTAAACGTCTTTGGACACCTCCGCCGCTTCTCACCAACTCTCCATCCATCCCCCCACTTGCCAGTCCAGGGGGAACCCGTAGCCCACAATTTAAGGGGTCACCAAAGAATGGACAGAGAGAAGGAGGGAGAGGAGAAAGGGCCGAGGGCTCCAAAACTCCCTCCCTCTCCTCCCCCGCTCTTCCCCTTTCATTGAACAGACTTAAACACAAACACAATTGGACATGCTGGAAGCCTCACAATGGCACAGGGGAGGAAAGTGAAGTCATACTCTAGGCACGCTGGGTGCCTAGGTCAGGGGGCAATCAACGGCACCCATGGCTACTGTGTCTTAACCCCTCCGCCTTCTCTCTCTCGCCCCAAAATAAAGGAGAAGCTGGGGGGAGAGAGGAGGGTGTGTGGAGGCGGGGCGGGGCAATTTCTTCTTCCTTGGCACTTTCAAATGAAGCTGCTGGGGAAGTTGGTGAAAGACTGCGAGATAAATGAAATATTTCCTCCTCTGCTAAAGTCTTCACACAACAGGGGTGAACCTTTTAAATGTAAACACGTCTTTAAAAACACTCGCGTGAGCATGTGGGGCGACGCCGCCAATCGCCACCTCCTCCAAAAGCCATTGCTTGTTTCACTTGACAAACTGTACCCGCGGCTCGTATTGTTCCCGAGCAAACTTACAGCATGTGGTTGTATTCAAAAGTTTTTAGGCGTGGTGACAGAGTCCGGCGCACTCGGCATACTGTAGTTTCATCAAGCCAATAAACAAGTACTCAGCATCACACAAGTAGTTGCCAAGTGCCGACCTCATTTTACTTATTTGATGGGTGATTCATTGGGGGGTGAAGTAAAAGAGTGGGGAGGAAAGAAGCATTGCACTTTATTAAATGTTTTGATGCAACAACTATTGAGAAAGAGTCCAAAAACCATCCCAGTGACGCCCTGTTTATTTTAGCAAAGAATGTTAACGCCGCTCACATTCCTCTATTCCCAAATTGCTGTGTTAAATTACCATTGCGGGGAATGGCAACCATTCCCGAGGGGTGCGCAACGGAGAGACGCGACAAAGGGAGCAGTAGTATCCCACCAATTGCAAACACCTGTCATCCTGCGAGCTGTTAACACCTCTCTGTTTACAGCAGAGAATGGAGCTCACCTTGAGCGACGCTACACATGATTGCAAGCAACCTGGCAAAAGCCACTGACCGTCATTGATGAGGCACAGTTATGACGGTCCAAACGGTGACTCATAAAAATTGTATTCAACTTACGATAAGAGCATTTCACATTATTATAAAAAAGGTGCAGATATAAGTAACATTCCCATCGGAATTCCATTATGCTGGTTTGCATCACTTGTCACGGGGTAAAAGGAAGTATGGATATTAGGGCAAATGCAAATGAGGTCAAAGTAACAGACAGGACATCTGCCCGGTCACGGACTTTAAATATCAATAGGCCTGCGTAAAAGCCTGTCAATTCAAAGGGGGCAAGTACACATTTGAAATTCTTTGTAAACGTGGTTCCATTTTCTACATTTAAACAAATGTGTTTATTACAACGCTAATCAGAAAGCCTAATTGAAGATAGGGAAAATTACGAACCTCAAGTTTGTGAAACTCTGCTCTAGAGTGCTTGTAAAAAAAAAAAAAAAGTTATTCGCTGTGCTGTTATCTAAGGCGTGTCCACATGTTTACACCCAATCCCCAAAGACGACGCAGCACAGTGAACACGCCTCATAACAAACTAAGATGACAGTGGAAAAAAAGAAAAGACATTTTTAGACAATGCTGTGACAAATCAGCAATGAGATAAACATGGTTTGGTGCTATGTTACCGCCCACAACTACCATGCCTGACTTTTCCAGCTCAGCACATCAAAACCAGCAGACATTCCACGAGCTTTTTCCACCTTGCCATTCACTTCTTCAACATTTGAATCGTCATTTCAGAGTAACACTGCAATTACCACATCACTCCAGTGCCATTATTTATATAGTCACCATTATAGCTCTCACTAATTTGCATATTTGTTTTTGATTAGTATTACCACACGACTGGGCAATTTATACTGTTTAGTGACTTGCTTTGTGTTCTAAATGCTGTAAAGTGGCTCCAACTACCTTCGACAAATTCTTTTGTGTGTTTTAACATACTCAGCCAATGAGAATGGTTCTGAGACTTAAGAAACGGCACGTGTTATTTCCAGCTTCACCCCACTTCCTTGAGGCTACACTGGGTGGCACAATACACAATTCTTGATGCAAAACAACCGCGTCACTTGTCACTGTTGAACAATTACAAACAGAAAGCCGTGCAGCGGGATGCAAGTGGAACTCACATTTTTGGGGGAAAGTAGAAAGCGTGGAAGCAGCGACATTTTGTGTCACTTGCGGACTATCTCAAAGCGCCGCAGAAACGCGAGTCAATTAATGCGTGAGCAAGTATGTGTGACAGTGATATACAAACGCGCCAAATGACGAGTATTTTGTTTTAAAAGCTGGCGAGGTGACAACTGTCCCAGTGGAATCAAAAGGATTCCCAACGCCACAGGCGGAGAGCCGCTGTCCTTATATGGACTGCGCGCAGCTCACATAAACAGGCGCGTGAGCTGTGCCTCGCGCTCCGGAACCTCAGTCAAACGTCGACGTCTTTGTGATAAGCGTTCAGTTCCTTATTGACCGTTATTGATTAAGAAAAAAAAAAAAAGACAAATATAAAAGGTTTCAAATAATGTGCAAAACAGACGCGTTAAACGCTCGACGGCGATTGCGTTGGACAACGTGGAAATAAGTGTTCAAAACAACAATTTGAATCACCTCTACCCAAAAACAACCAGGGTTTCTTTGATAAAGTTGTTCAAAGCGCTTAGCATTGCTGAGCAGCTTCGATAAGGCAACACAAGTTATTCCGCCCTACGGTGCAGCAACAGTGTCCCTCGCGTTACCTGCTCGGAGTACATTAACGAAAGAAAAGAGCATGAAAGAGTTGTTGTTTTTGACTTTGATCAAGACGAATCCATCCACAGAAGCACAACAATGCTCGCGGAAAAAAAAAAAATAAAACAGCCCGTCGAAAACTGTAATAACAACCAGGTAGAAACAGGTCCGAGTTTGACTGAGAGGGTTTTAACTCGACACAACTCGACCAATAGTATCTCTTTCTATAAAGAAAAATCGTACATAAATAAACAAAAACGCGTTAAGGTGAGATTAAAGCGCTGTCCGTCCGTTTATAACAGGGTGAGGTGCTAGTAACGGTCTCGGGTGCAGCGGACCGCTGAAGAAAGATTAAAAAAAAAAACTCGACAGAACGTTCTTAAAGCACGTGAATAATGGCTCTAAAGAGTAGGAGGGGAAGTATACTAAAAGATAAACATAAGATAACAGCGTGTCCGTTTATAAAAGGCTGAGGTGCAAATAACGGTCTCGGGTGCAGCGAACCGCTAGGCGGAGGGCGAGACGCGACCCAGGTATAACGGTACACCACATAGGCAGCAATACAGCGCTCACTTGCGACTTCACAGCACTTTAAGTGACTAAAAAACACACTTTTGCACATCCAAAGTTATCACCAAAGTAACCGATGGACACAACAGCGTCCCGATTGTGCCCCCGAACGGAAAGCTCCCCATCAGAAGTAGTTTTACTCACCGTTGTTCCTTCTCGGGTTCGCCTGCTTTCTGCGCTTACACCTGGGGCCATCCGCCATGATCCTTTCGTTGTGTCTAAATGCTGCCGGAGAGTCACCTCCTCTCTCACCCCCTCTCCCCCTCCGTGTCCTCCCTCCCCTTCACCTCCCCTTATCCGCACCTGGTTTACGACAACTAACACTTTACGACATCACCTTCCCGTGTACCTCCCCAGCCCGAAGTTGCATGCGCCGGTCCCATCGAACGAAGCTCTGCGAGTGAGAAGACAGAGACGGTCGGCAGCTTGTGCCGGCTTTACCTGACCAGCCTCTCGGAAGTGAGCTATGTAGTTTGGCTCTTTTATTTCTTCTTTGTTTTGATCATCAAAGGTAAAGATGATAGATGTGCTTTGCAAGATGTGCACGTCATAAAAGCACCACTACATGTATGACTTGAACACACACACACGCACACACAGAAACACACAAGTGCAACGCTTCAAACTTGTTTTTTTCCCTAGTTGCATTCGCAACGTGCATTGCATTTTTATTTGTTTATTTGTTTGTTTGCGGTAAAAAAAAACAATCTGTTACATTTTTATGCAACATAAGGTCTAATCAGTGTTGTGTAAACTAAAGTACATGAAAGTGATACTTAGGAAAAAGCACAAGAACCCTAAAGAAAATAAATGGTTGACGTCAATTTATAGCACACTGTTGGAGTAAAGGTTTTAAAGTATCTAACATTTACTATTCTTAAGTCTCAAACGTAATTTTCTAACATTAATTTTAGGGGTAGATTGCTAGGTAGATATTAAGCAAAATAAACTGTTCACAAAATGTACACAATGATGATGCACTTCCGCAAGGCAAAGCAGACCAAACACAAATGCCAAACACAATATCATCACTCTCTTAAAATAATGTCCTAAGTTATAACTAATTTTTTTTTTTTTGCCTTAAATATCTTCTTAGGATGATGGCCATCTCTGCTCAAATCAGCTACATCCTTCGTTAAACAGATCATTCATTTATATTCCTGAAAATAAATTATTAAATACAATATATTGAATAGATCTTCCATGGCCCTAGTGAGGGAAAGCGGTGAATATGGATGGTCTGTATTTATACATCAATAAAATAAAAGTACTAGTAATGAATAATAGATATGTGATAAGGCGGCAGGTTGTTAGCACACTCGCCCCACAGTACTGAGATCGAGGGTTCGAATATAGCCTGCAGCCTGAGCCTTTGATGTTCTCCGGGTACTTTGGATATCCCCAAAAATATTTCTGATCGGTTAAGTGAAGACTCTAAGCTGTCCTTAGGCAAGAATTTGACGACAGATGATTTCTCTATGCTTCTCTACAGACTGGTTGTTTCTCTTTATGTGCCCTGCCATTGGCTGGTAACCAGCCCAGGGTGACTTCATATGTCTGTGACCCCAATGAGGATAAGTGGCATATAAAATGGATGCATAGATGCAATAGTAAATAAACATTTAAAAAAACTAAATGTGCGTAATGACTGAAAGTAAAAGTAAGTAAGAATGAAGCTAAGTGTGTCGATCAATTCAAATTTTATTTCAGTTATTGCGTTTACTTTAGTGGCGCAGTTGTCCCTTTCATGCAGGTAGCCCAGGTTCAATATTGGCCGTTGACCCAATGTCCGCCCACAGCCGGTCTCAAGCCTGGGTGAAAAGCAACGGAATCGGGCGTATAAACTCTTCCAAACAAGTCATGCTGGTGACTCACCGTGACAACTCCTGATGGGGCATGCCGAAAGTCACGACAAGAACTTCAGGGTTGTAGTTGACAGTCACTATATGCCTTAACAAGCTCATGATGATGAAAAGAGCATTGATGTTTTGACTTCATTGGTATCAGTTGCATAGTTTGATGATTCTTGGGCCATCTGCACTCTTCATATCGAAAGTGCATTTTTATAATAAAAAGTGACTAAAAGTAAACGTTGCACCACAGTTTCAAACCAAAATGTCAATCCAGGTGGCTTATGAGTCCCTTGCTGCAGTTCCCCATTACATCCCAAAGAATGTGAAGATTTCCGTTTCTGGTGTTTGGTGTTTGTTGTCAACTTGTCAAGTTGGGCGACTTTATTTAAATTAAAAAAAATAAATTAAAGAAACTCTATTTCATTTATCAGCCAAATTTTAGGAATTCCGCTCGCAGACATTATGTAAACACCAGTAAAGCGTCTTTTTTTTCTTTTTTTTCCTCCTTTTATTTTATTTTTTTACTCATCCTCGACTAGTATTTCAGTGTGTGAAATGTGTGTTAGCGAGAGGAGTTGGGCGACTGTATTTAATTTTTTTTCAGGAAACTCTATTTCATTTATCAGCCAAATTTTAGGGATTCCGCTCGCAGACATTATGTAAACATCAATAAAGCATCTTTGTTTAGTTTTTTTCCTCCTTTTATTTTTTTTTACTCGTCCTCGACTAGTATTTCAGTGTGTGAAATGTGTGTTAGCGAGAGGAAGAAGTCATGAGACTGTCGTCACTGATTCAATCCTCCGCATAAAGAAAGACCCCGCTGTTCTTCTAAGTAGCGCTTACCTCAGACGAGGAGGACACAGGCATGCCAGTGCAATCAGCAGGTTCAGGCTGCTTCCAATCAGATGAAACCTTCGTTCACAAACACACAATGCTTATCACACCACGCTCTGAGCAAACTGAAAGAAAAAAAAAACTGTCACATGTCTGAGGTGAATTCGTCTTGTCAAAAGGAAAGGTGAACTTTATAGACTGCATGAAGGGTCAGTCACATCTACATTTAGAGGTCGGGGGGGAGTCGCGGTTGCTCTGAGGTGGTCGGTGGCTATTCTTAAAGCCGACAACTATAAGGTTTCGATTGCCTGTCATCAGTCAGTTTTGTCGGAGTTGGGGAGATTAAGAAACGTACCTTCCGTTTGAAATCCTGACTCGCCCAATGTGGTTGTTGCATGGCTCCGTTATGTTTTGTGGTCATCCCAGACCAGTTCATAAACCTTATGCATGTTTTTTTGAAGCTACGGGGGAAGCTGTGACCTGAGGATTCTATGTTCTGTCATGAGGAAAATCTGCAGGCCCCGGGCCATCGTCTTCCTTTTAGTGCAACTCATCCTTCAGCTACGAGTTCACGTTTTGTATACCCACAGACAATTGGCACTTCTTAAGACTGAATAATTCAGTAAGCATAGAGCAGGCCCGCTCGAAGGACAGGCCAACCAGCCAGAGAGTAATAGCTTTAGCATAAACAACACCTCCAAACTTGCACTCTTCCAATAATTGTCTGACAAGGGGAGGGGTGGTTGCCCAGACACTGCATAGCTTGCTGAAAAAAAGGCCCCAGAAACAGTCTGAATCAGCAAAGATCAATGGCGAAACTTTCAGCCATCCACGTGGTCCTATCGCGGTGGCTCCTTGCACGCTGAGCATGGAAAATAAGATGCATGTTAGCCAATGGAAAGTCCAATCTTTTCCCATTTTCCTTAGAGCACTCCACTATTAACATGAGGGCAGCGCCTGTGGAAAAAAAAAAAAGAATAACAATTGTGCGACTCCACGTAATGTAAAACAGCCCGAAGACACCATCTGATGTCTCAAAGAAAAGCTGGGGATTTTTTTTTTCCCTCGCCGGCAACTGGTGTAGACTTCATACACGATTAAACGGGGGATGCAATTTAATAGGTATATACTTGCAAGGTTTCTGATGTCTCTTGTATTGTATGAACAAAGTCAAGACATGGTAAATGTAAAGAGCAGAGCAGAGAATTGAATTTTATTCAATTGGACACGAATGGCAAGAATAAAACTGACTGCAGCAGTCAAATAGAGACCAAACCCGAATATGAAGAATCCTGTCGCTTTTTTTAGTAGCAGCAAACTCTTTTCCAGCAACATTTTTATAAAGTAACCTGAGAAGTGTGAATCTGTCTGTACTGTCAACTTGTTTCGCAGGATTTTCATTCGTAATGGAACTGAAATTTATTTTCAGTTTTTATAGTATTTTTTTTTTATATACAATGCAGTGGAAAGGGGGCATAATACTGCTGCATTCACTGGTACAAATCAGTTGTTGGCTTTGTATACTTTCGATAACGTGCTAACCGCATACGTAAATTAACCAAAGATGTATCCAGTAAGTCAGCTGTCTCATCTGTTTCCAGCCTTCCTGCAGTTACATCACCGTGATCCTGTTTAGGGCCAAAACTGTTTTGCTCTGGCCATACAAACCGCACTAAGGGGGAACTGGAAATAAGGCCAACCCCAGAGATGGGTTGAGTGTTTAAAAGTTGCACTCAAATAAGAGGAGGCTACTGTTATGTTGGTGAGTAACTTTTGATTTTTTTTTTTTTCATTCGAGCAAATGAGCATTTCTTCTTCCCAAAAGTAAAAGTGTTTCACATCAAAACTACTCTGACAAGTACAATTCATTCAACAAGTTATTTTAGTGAATGTCATGGAGTTACAAGCCACTTCTCGTCAAACCTGATGACACATTTGACGGTCGGATCGGACCGAGCTTGGATTTGTTTGGAAACTGTACCCGGATCACTGACCGCTTGAGTTGATCCAAAAGCACACTTTTCTGATGACAATGACATCCAGATATCGTCTTTGCTAATGCGGGCCATGACATGGAATGAAATGAAATGCAGACTTTTGTTCTTTCTGTAGGGAGTTGAAACCGAAAGGATGAGGGGAAGGGATAAGCAGCCATCCTCTACTACATTAAGGGATCATGCTGCTCCCTGAAAATGAGTATTGATCCTCTTAGGTGCAGGATCGTTTAGGAGATTAATGTGAGAAGTGGTTGAGCTCCGTAGTGCTCCACCAGGACCGGGGGATCAGCTCAGTGGGACAGCCGAGCCACGGGTGACAGAGGTGCAATTGTGCAATAGCGCAGAGAGGCTGGAGAGCAATTCGCTCCTGTACATCCTCACTAAAGTACCGCCATCTGGGCTATCAGCTAAGAGCGCCAGCTGGACGTACAGGTTCAGAGGGAAGGTGAGGAGGCCAGAGCACGTCAGATAGAAACGGTCTGAAGAGAGAAAATGAAACAGCTACGTGTCACGGACAGGCGGCGTGGATAGAATGAAGGGCAAGGTAAGGAACAGAGGAAACGAGAGTAGAAAAGAGGAACAGAAAGTGCAAAGAGGAGGACGACGGAAAAGGTACACCCTGCACTACACCGAATAGAGAGGAGGAACAAGACGCCGCGGCAGTGATAGAGCGACACAGAACAGACCAAACTGCTTAATCTCTCCCTGGAGACGGCGACTAAATGTGAGGTTCTCCTCTTCTGCTTTCCACAGACCACCAACCCCCCACACAATACCGTGGCACTCTGCTCAGCTGCAGTCGAGGCTGTTATCCCGCTAAAAGCCACAAGCGCAAAACTAAAAGTGCACGAGCGGAGCCCGCTTTGAAAGGCTCACTTTGAGCCTAGTAGTGAACTGTTAGGCCAACGCTGCACAAAATGAGTTGTGAGAATGATCAGTGATTTTATTTTATTTATTTTTTGTCCACAAAAACACTCATCTAATGATCCTCCTTGCAGCAAATAAACAGATCCTATTGCAGGCCTGAGATTTTTCTCATATATCTCCCTCTGGGGGGGTGCAGCAGTCCTGGGGGGGAAACTCTTAAAACAAATATTAGCTCAAGTATTCAGCTGCAGTTGAATGTGTGCTGTCAGAGTGCGAAACCCAACAATGCAATGTTTTTAGGACGAGATGTCAATCAGATTTTTTTTTCTCCTCCACCAAGCCAGCAAATTATCAGCACACTTCCGCCTTCCTCCTGTATTTCTTTTTTTTTTTTTTTTTTTTTTTTTTTT